GGATGGAAGGAATCAAACTCTTAGTCATATTTATGGACTTTGGCTACCAGGGTTTTTTCAGTTCAATGAGTATCCCAGAAAATACCTCATGTCTAATACATCTTTGTGCCTGTAGGAGTGGGTGTCTTCGCTTCCTGCCTGGATGGCAAACACTCTATCAATGATGGAATAAAGATTAACCAAAAATGAAAGTCATTGAGTTTTCTCTAACTCTTTCTGGTTTTAGTTTCACCAGTTGTTCTTAGGCTCCAGAGCCCCTCTTTGAGATGGAAATTTACTGTGCTTCTCTCTTGGCAGTTTGGCTTATTTGGTAATTAGAGTCTACTTGCTTTGTGAGCTGTTCCCATGGTCCCTCAGTTGTGCTCATTCTTGCTCTTGTACTTTCCTAATAACTGCTACTCAGGCTCCTCTCTTCCTTTAATATTTTCTTGTGTGTTTGGCTAGGCTTCTCTGCATTCTTGGTATGGCATATGATGTGCCATCACTAGAACAAGATGTCACAGCTTTTCAGCAGATGGAAGTGGAATTACTTCTCCGGAAGGCTCTGCTTCAATCGCCTGTTTCAGCTCTCTCCACATGAGTTTTTACTGTGCTTCATGGTGGGTCTCTGCTACGGCAGTGGCTTTCCAAAATGGATAATACCTGGACTTGTAAGCAATTACAAGTACCTTGGCTTTAGCAAGCCACCTTTCCCAGTTGAAGCCACTGGAATCTTGTGGTCTGTAGTCTCTACTCTGTCTTGCGGTTCACTGAGACTCTCTTCTATTTCTTGCTCCTGGCTGGATATATTCCCTCGTTTGTTTTAACTAAGTACCTTAAGGAATCCCACTAGTCTATATGGTTATTTGTGGCTTGGCATTTTTTTCAGTCCTCACTCTATCATGCCAATTTTTTTTTTTTGCTCTGTGTGCCAGGACCTCTTAAGTTTGGTCCCCTCTACTTACAGCATCTCTCCTTCCCTCCCTCAGCTCCTTCCCCTCACAGGTTTTTGTGTGTTCATGTTGTGAGGTAGAAGAGTCCTCTTTGCTCTGAATGCTTCAGAATGTAAACTGATGTTAATTTTTTCTTTAGTTTCCTAGTTGAAAATTAGAAGGGATAGGATTAATCCAAATAGTCATCATCTGTGGTCTTTAAAGGCATTTCCAGATTTTGGCATATTGAAAACTGCCAGAACGTAACAGGCATACCTAGAGAGAGAAGACAAATGCTGGTCATTACAATTTTTTCATTTTCTACAATGAATATGCATGTCTAATCGTTTCAGATCCGAAGTCCCCCTTTCTTCAATTTTAGCTGATTATTGTCAAAGACATGCTGTAATCCTTTCCATATCTTGTATTTTTTAATCACATTTGATAGCTTGGTAACTTTCTTTAACCAGAGCAATGTGTTACACTTTTTTTTTGGCTGCCACAGAGAATTTTAAATGATTTTGCTGAACTAGGTTTCAGCAGTTTTGGTATGTAGCCTAACACCATATACTGTGGTGTGCAGAGAAAATCGGTTCTCCAAAGGGAACTCAATAGCAGCATGGACCTTCTGCCAAAAATTCCTAATTCTGGGACAGTACCAGGAAACTTGTGTGGGTCCCATTCTGCTCCTACTGAAGTCAAAGTCAAAGCTCCTCCCAGTTGCAGAGGGATAAGGTTCAGGCTCCAACACTCAGTCCTCACATTCCCATTTCACACATTTTCCTTCAAATTCCTTTTTTTTCCCTTTTATTTTTAGGCTCTGGCAGTATACTAACCTTTGCTCTCTCTTGTACATTTTCTGGAAGGCAAATTAAAGATAGAAACCGCTTTCCTCATCTCTTACACTGTTTAAGAGTAGCTCCTGTTTTGTGCCCCAAAGCACGGCTGGAACTCAGCAGCAGTAATCTGGAGTGACAGATGAGCAAGTCAGATCATGAAAGGAGGAAAAAGCTGCTGGAAAAGGAGCAAACAAACAGAAGAAAAGCTTGTAATCATATCAGAAAGACAAGAAGTGATGTCTCAAAAGAATTAAATTTTTATTTCAGTAATCCCTGAGTTTACTTGGAAAGACAAGGAATCGGGGATAGGCTGTGGACAAGCAGACGTGAAAAGATGGGATCTTGGGACATTTGCCATAGGAAATGAAACTCCAGCATCACTGTGTTGCAATAAGTGCTAATAGGTTTGGAGCTTGACCATGTCTTATGTGTGTGTAAGTATACACACTGCTATATATAGCTCTGGAAATAAACTCAAGTAATCTGATAGCTTTAAACATAGTCAGTTTTCTTATTGGACTGTAAGAACAGTTGGAAAAAGCAAGTGTAAGAATAGAATAGATACTGATTTTTGCCATGAAGCTTAGAAGAGATATGGAATTGATCTTAAACACCAGGTGATGGGTAGCAAGTTGGGGACTGCTAGACTGCTTCCAGCAGTGCCACACAATCACTGCCTGACATCAGGGAAGTAATTTCATTTCCTTTTGCTTTTTCATTTGCTTTCTTCATCTGCATTAGATGGTGCTAATTTCTTCTGTTAGGAGCTGTTGAAGGGTGCTAATACGGAAGGAAAGCAACTGAGCTGCCGAGTAACAGTCTCTTCTCAACAAAAACAAGTGCAAGAGTTTCCAGGTGGAGAGACACAGGGAAGGGAAGAAGGAGCATCCCTTGCAAATTCCCAACCCGTTTGTGTACATATGACTATGAAACACGTGAGCTGGGTGCAGTGAGGAAATGGAAGGGTCCAGGTAACCCTCCTCCTGGCCTGTGCCTCCCTGTGGGCTGACCAGCCCCCTGGGCTCCTTCCATGAGCACAGCCTAAAGGCTGTGTTCAACCCCAGCAAGGGCTGTAATAAGGTCATAAGGAGCAAAGTGCCAATAAGGAGTCAAGAGTCCTACTTCATTAACCTAATTTTGTAGTTTTGAATATAGAAAACTGAGCAACCAATGCTAATTTTTAAACTTAGGTTGTTTTAAGTAACTGCAGAATCAGAGTCAGCAAAGCTTTATTTACACTCTTTATGTGCAGCTGGCAAGAATCTCAAATTGTGCCTTCTGCAGTGCAAATGCTGCTGGAAAGGGAGACTTCTGCATGTAATGTCCGCAGCCCATCTCACCATGTGTTGCAGGTTGGCTTCCGTACTTGTCAACATGCAGTGAAACAAGGACAGGGTTTATCCAGGGTCACTCTCAGGGCAAAATTCTCTCCATAATACCCCTAATACTGATGCTAAAGGGTTAAGAAAACAACTATTTTTCTACTGCATACTAGACATCTTATTTAAGAGATTGAGAGATTTCAGGGACTAGCACCAAACCCAGTCAGTAATGTACATGTGTTACTTCATCTTAATGCTAATAAACAAAACCTAAATGAAATACAATACTTCCGTTGTTGGAAGCCATTCAAGTGTGATTTAAAACAGAAGGCTGACAAATACTTTATTGCAGTAGTGTCCAATATCTCCCTGGGCAGGTACCATGTTCTCTTCATTGAAATGCACATTTTTACAATTTGCTGTCTGTTTGTTTAATGTAAGGTACTTAGACAGGAAAGCAAAATGTTGTCAGCTTTTACCTTTGGCTTTTAAAAAGTGAAGTAAATAGGAAATCCTGCAGCCAATGAGGATTCAAGGTATTGAAAATTAATTTGAATGTGAAATCAAACATCCTGTTGCATTGCCTGTGAATATTTTTTTTCCCTATAACTTTGGTTTCTTATCCCCAGCAAAATTCAGCAGCTTAGGTTTGCTCTTAGTTCTCTCACAGTTTTCCCCTCCATCTTTTTGACAGTTCCCTGCTATCTGGATCACCCAGAAAAGTATTTTTCAGCTGACTGGAGCGTCCTCAGTAACAACAATACAAAACTCCTGTCTTTTAGAGCATTTCCTCGTGTCTTCTCAGTTCTTTTATGTTCTGCTCTTTGGGAATATGTTTGGTTTTATTTCATGACATTTTTCTCGAACTTACCTACAACTAGAAGGTATTTGCTGCATGTCTGATGTGAAATCTTTGTTCTTGTAGCACCCAGTAAGAGCCAAGTACCATAACCCTAACTCACATCAGATTTCTGCTGAGGTTCATGGAAGTTTTGCCAAAGTAAGGCTGCAGGATTTGACCACAGGTTTGCTGTACAGTGTGTACTGCAACCTGTGCTATTGCTTAACTCTACCTCGTTTGTTTCTAATGACAGTTTGCATAAAGATGTCTTACAGGATAAAGTTACAATAGGCTGTGTTACAGGGACAAGGTAAGAACACTGGAAATTAAAGCTAGAAAGACCTTTGTCTCTCTAGGAAGACAGTGAATGGTGTTGTATTTCTTTTGGCATTTTAATGCTACTAAATTACATCTCCTCTTCAAACATCGTTAAGGATGTTTCTGGACCCAGCTCCAATTATATGCGAGATACAAACCCTCCAGCGCACTCAGCTTTCCCTCTTTATATCGTTTCATCCTCTCCCCCATGCCGGTCCCCATATTTTAATTTAACTCGCAGCTTCCTGCCGAGTCTCCCCAGCTGGAGCCCATCGGCAGCCGAAGGCTCCTCTCACCCTCCGGGTGCGCTAAACGGCATCACCTGTCCCAGCGCTGCCGCTCGGGCCGCCCGCACCTGGGCCCAGCTGTGCTCGGCTCCGCATTGCCGGCGGCGGGTGCGGGTCCGGCTCCTCTCCCGCATGCGGGTCCCGGTCCCGGTGCGGGTCGGCGCCGGGGGGAGCGGCGCGGGGCAGCGAGCACCATGCAGGGCCGGGGCCCGGCCCGCCCCGGGGGCCGCGTGTGCTGATGTAATCGCCAGGCAGCCAGCGCTGAAATTCAACACCGCGGCGGGCAGGAGCTCCGCCGGGGCAGGCGGTGCAGCGCCGCTCCGCCGCCGGACTCCGCGGGCAGCCGCGGGGCGCCCCCGCCGCCCGGCCCCCGGCGCCCCCCCCACCGCCGCGCCCGCCCCCGCGGGCCGTACGCGGGCCGGGCCGCCCCCGGGCTTGCGCGGAGCTCGGCGGAGACCTCGGGGCCGCCGGGGTTTCATGGGCAGGAGCTGACCCTGCGGCGGCGCGGCGCTCGGCTTTCCCTCGGATCTCCGCTGCCCGGGCAAATGCATACAAATGCATTTGGGAGCCGAGAGGACAAGGCGAGGACGCATCTCTCCCGCGGCACAAACGTAAGCGGGAGCCGGGGAGGCGTGACGGCGGCGACGGGGCGCATCGCACCGCATCGCCACCCTGCCGCGGGGCGGGCAGGGCATGGGGGCTGCTGCTCAGCTCCCCTCCGGGGGCAGCGGACGGTGACCCCGGCGGGCTGTGTCCTCAGCCCTACCTTCCGAATGCCAGCCGTAACCCCGCGGGGTCCCCAGTACCCCCGGCGGACCGGCGGGGTGCTGACTCCTCGCACGGGCACCGTCTGTGCCGCTGGCTGTGCGTCTCTCCCCTCCGCACTCTCCCATGACGTCCTGGATGTGCCCCATCCTGTCCAGCACCCTGGTCTCGTCCTTCTCCCGCCCGAGCCCACACCAGGCAGCCTGGCTCTGGGGTCCCCGGGAGTGGAGACAGCCCGACCCGCGAGCCAGCGCACCCCTGATCCCCGAGGGGGAACGAGGATCCCGGTGGCCGCAGTGCCCACAAGGAACCGGGAAGCTCCTGCGCCCTTTTGGTACCTAGCTCTTAAAACACAGCAAACAACCAAAACATGCAGAATTTACGTTGAAGAGCTGAGGTTACTCTCTTAATAACAGAGATAGCCAGATGAGGTGCTTTGTATTTATGCGCTTCTACAAGAGGCTGAAGTAATTCTAATGCATCCTCATCTGTGGTTCAAAGTAGAGCTCCTCTCTCTACAGTTTGCCTAAAAGCAGCCTAGGCAAGATGACTGTGAATTTATGGTAGTTGTAATACTAGAGAGGTTACCATTATGTGTCTGTCTTCGTAAGGCACTAATTTTGTTCTGGCTGTGTCTTAAACTAAGTTTACTGAGTTCTCCAAGCAGGACAGAAGGATTTGTTTTGTGTTATAGGGAGGATTATGCTGCCAAAATGTGCCTGGTGTGTAACTCGGTGCATTAGAATGCTTGTGAGCAGTTACGTGGCTGCCTGAAGGTGGCCTTCCCAGGAGAACTGTGTGTTTAATGGATGTGTTTGGAGGACTTATTCAGGAATTGACTGAATGCAATTTAAAAAATGGTTTTATTTGATAACTGTAAATGGGTGTTACTGATGGAGAAACATAAATTGCATTACAGGAAAGAGAGACAGTAGCAGAGATGCAGTTTACTCAGGTTAAAAATCTGAGATAAGAATATATATCTATATACTTTTATATTGCTTACCTAATTTACTGGTCTAGAGAGAAAGCAATCTGGTTGATTGCCTGTATTAAGAAGCCAGAATTCCTTGCAAAAGATCAGGTTTCCTTAGTATATGTCAAACTAGTAAATCCCTTGCAACCCTGACCACCTTTTGGTTGAAATGCCATTAGGTCAGGCCTGTATAGGGGTTTCTCTGCAGGTTAAAAAAATAAAACAGCTGCATAACTTCTAAATCTCTCACCAAGTTTATTGTCAGAATATTTAATTTTAGAACATGAACAGCCTTGTCACCCTTGTTTCTTGCAAGCATTGAGTTGTAGAACATTTGAGGAATGATCTACAAAATATACAGAGACAAACCCTATGAAAGAAGAGTGTTTCATGAGTGGGAATTTGAGTTGCATACTTTTGCATTAATACAGATGAAAATGGTGTACACTATCTACAGAAGAAATCTAGTGTAAGAAATCACAGATTTACTCATAAAATGGTTCTAAAATTATGTCATTTTCATTAATTTTTTCCTTTTAAAAATACTAACAGTTGACTGTTCTTTTGGATGTGGTAGTTTCTCACTTTAAGCCAGATGCTGTTGGGAGAATGTCTGGGCCACCAGTCAGGGGGTTTCCTTTCTCTGAACCTGTACAACCCTGTTGTGCAACTCTTCTTAGGTCGCTGCTCCTCTACCTCTCGCCTTATCTTGTATTTTTACCATTTCCCATTCATTCAAATGGTGACCTTTGGCTAAGGGTACAGGAGCTTCCCCCTTTGCTGGCTAGTTGCATGGTGCCATCTGTACCCAGAGGGCATGTGACTGTCACCCTGGAGAGGCTGTTGGGTCCCCTCAAGCCATGTTGATAGTGGATCTTCTAAAATTTGAGAAGGAGCACTGGACCCAGTGCCTCATCTCATTATAGTAGCAAAGAAAGTTATTTTTCTTTTCACATCTTGAAAGATAAGATTTATAACAGCTTGAGGTCTTTGAGAAGCCCAGGTCATCTCTGTCTAGAAGGTGCTATGACCTTTCCCAAAGCTCTTCTCTGGTTGGATGAACCCAAACTGGGCCATTCTCCTCAGCAGTCCCCAGAGGACATCCGGTGAAACAATGCAAATGGGGCAAGTGCTGATGTTTAAACCATCATCACTGATGAGCAAAGGGTTGAATGCATCTGTGGCAGTTACATTGGGAACAGGTTTTCCTGTCTTCTCTAGCAGCAGTATTTCTTCCTTTAAACTGGATATTTAGGAAATTAGGCTGGAACGAAGAGGGTAATGCTGTGCGCTGACCAAACCTGAGCTCTGTATGCTACTGAATAGTCTTCAGAGGATGGAATTTTGCATCATTGTTTGCCAAACTTGCTTTGAAGCTTATCAGTTTCCTCATCCATCTGTCACCACTAATGCAAAAAACCACCATGAATAGTTGCTGTCCACTCTGTAGGAAGAGGCGAACAGCCACAAGATGTCAAAGATCATCAGAAAGATAAACTCAGTTTTAAATGGAGAAATAGATCAACCACACTTGATAGTGCCTTCCTGCAAAAGATTTATAGTAGCCCTCAGCCTGCGCTTGCATGTAAAATAAAGAGGATTAAAAAATAGGCAAAGGGGAGGAAGCTCAAGAGATACCCAGGCTTTAGGACAGGACATGGCCAAGGTGTATTGGAACAGCTTCATGTGTGATGTTTAAGTGGGGGAAAAACAGCCAGCATTTGAGTCAGCTGGAGTCTTCCTTGCCACATGCTTTTGTGTTTTTCTATTGTTGTGTCCCAACAGAGCAGGTCTCCCCAAGATCTGTGGGTTCAGCCAACACAAGGGCTAAGTTCCTTGGAGCTGTGGCAGATGATGGATCAAGCCACATTCATGTTAGCAGCAGGGAGCCTGAGGTCTTAGTGGCTGTGCTGGTGTGAGAGTGGAGGCTGAGAACTGACTACTCTGCAGCTTAAAATCTACAAATGTAAAGAGTAGTGGTCTTGATCAAGAAGAGAAAGTTGCACGAACGGTTTCTCTCAAAAAGGCAGAATTTCATTGTTTCATTTTCAGCCCCGGAGGGTTCACTTGTACAACTTCACTTTAGGTTGCACATGGTTTCATTTACAAAAAGTTTTACTTGTGAAAAAAGATAGAAAGAAGACTATCTTTTCCCACATATTAGAGGACCTCCAGCCCTGTGGTTGTCTCTGGTCCCTGTTTTTTCTCTTTGTTGTTCACTCATTTGTTCTTGACATTAGTTGGAGAGCACTGGAGAGGCAGACATGTGTCTTTACCTCTCACTAAATGTTCCTGTATATCCAATTACATCTGTTTAATTTGCAGCCCTGGGAGCATTCTGGAATTTCTTGCTTTCCTACGGTGTTTGCTGGGACGTGAGAGAGGCAGATACCTGACACACAGCTTGTGTGTGTGTGGAATAGCCTATTGTAATGTTGTGGAATAGGCTATTGTAATGTTAAGAGGAGTCATCTTTGAATTCTGGGCTCTGGGGTTCTTTGAGCATTCTTATTTTGGAGGTAGCTAAAATGTCTTATGAGATTTTTAATTGTAAATCCATTTTGCACCTTTAAAAGTCGAATAGAGAGTTCTCCTAAGTTTTAGCTGATACGGTGCAATGCATGGGCTTTCTTTCTGACACAGCTATCTCCTGTCACTGAGCTTCTCATTAGATCAAAAGATGATGCATCATGTGATGCAGAAACTATGAATTTGAATTCTGGTCTTTAGAAGTGAAAAAACTGAAGTGAGTGTTCTGTAGCTGATGTGCTATTTGGACAAGTCAATGTTAGGTCTTTTGTAGGAGTGGCAGAACTGCCCCAGTAGACATTTTGTGGCTGTAGCAGGAGAAAGCTTGAAGGGAGGAATAGCTAGGGTCTGCAGTGGTGGTTAATTAAAAAACATGTCTTTACAGGCATGTTGGGATTTGTAAGGTGTAGTTTCCGCCCTTCTCCACTTCCATAGTAAGAACTGAAGCACTGATGCATATTTTTGAGTATCCTATACATTCTGTGCATTTTCTTCTAAAAGACATGATGTATCTGCAGTTTTCCAGTGGCAGTGATGACTATTGCGTCTTAATGTTCCTTAAATTATTCATTCTGATGGCCACAATTTAAGCTCTCACAATATGCACATCCACTTGGTAAAAACAGGTTTTTGCTCTGTGGTTTTCATGCACTTGGATGTTTCTGGAACGTTTGAATTGCAAACCCATGGAAGGAATAGTAAGATATTTCACTAAATACTTCTATATAATATATGCATGTGTACATGTATATCCATGAAGGACCTTGTCTCCCTCTTTGAACCATAAGGTCCTGTATGAAGTGGTTAGGTTTTCTTCCTACCCTGCCAAAGTTACATCACATGAAATTACAGGTGTTCAGTTGCAACTGTTACTTTCAAAATCTCTTCATTCCAGATACTCAAATGTTCTCTGACTTGTCCAGCACTTTTAGTCACTCTAGCACTTAATGTTATGAAAAATCTGTGATGTTACATACCTTAATAAACAAGAGGATTGAGCTGCAGCTTGAGCATGAGTTGTTAGTGTCAGAACTATATTTCTGATTTTTTGAAATATTTCTCCTCAGAAGTAGATATAGGCTACTATAATTGTTACATACATCTGTGCCTGGATATGCAACATTAACAGAAAATATATTTCTCATTTATTAAAAGATTCAGTCTCTGATAAGAGTGTGATTGGATGTGAATCTGGCTAATATGATAATGGATACAAAACAGCAGACAGTCTGTTTTTAATCATGGAAAAAATATGCTCTTTGTACAACATTCAACAATTTTAAAGCAAATTTTGAGCACATAATCTATATCAACCTTATACATATTTGTTGAAACAACTGAAACATCAGTGTGCTATCAACATTATTCTCACACGAAATCCAAACCACAGCACTCTACCAGTTACTAAGGAGAAAATTAACTCTATCCCAGCCTAAACCAGGACAGTGAGCCTATGCTACCTATCAGTTCTGTATTTTCATATCTGAGCACGGAGTTTTAAGTTGACATGTGATGGGATTTTTTTTACTCTGTCAATAACATGTCTTTCTTAGAGCATGATAAAATTTTATAATACAAGAAAAAAGCATGACATAATATTTTCATTTATGGGACTATTATGATGTGATATAGCGAAAAGATTGATAGCAAGTCAAAAGTATTTAATGATCTCTATAGACATTAACTTGTCATTTATTTTATGGTTTCTTTACATTAACGTTTTCTTTCCAGGAAGAAATTTACTACAAAGCACCATTCATATTTGAAAGCTGCTGCAAGAAAATATAAAGCAGATGCAGTCACTTTATTAATAAAAGCCAATATAAAAATATATGTACTATATAAGTTGTACAATGTGATGGCTTTGATTCAGGACTTGCTGAAGTCAGTGATATCCTGTCATGGACTTTGGATGTTGAATCAAGCTTCTAATTCCTTGGATTTCTGAAACTGTAGACGTTTTCTCACATGTTTTTTTTCTTTCCTTCTTTCTCTTTTAGGAAAGCTCTCCTTTTTATTGCAACATGTATAGCTGTGGGTATTGCACAAGTACCCAAACAAGGTGAGAATGCTTTGTTTATAACAGGACATTTGTATAATATGTTACTAGATGAAAAGAGTAAATGACTGTTGTTACCAGTGACCTTAGGTTCAGTTCCTTAATTCACATGACTTAAAGAAAATATCAGCTACAGCATAATGAGAGCAAAAGTTTAAAGTAACCAGTTTGGAAAAGATGACCTTTTGAAAATTACTCAGATTTTCTGTCTATGAAATTGCTTACATATTTAAGCAAGCTCTTCATAAAAAAGAAGCCTTGTACAGTGAAAAGGCTTTGATTGTGTCTTCACTGCAAGTGGGTGTCCTTGGGGGTGGCAAGCTATGACTGAGTTACCTTTGCACTTAAGACTGCAGGCAAACCACTGCATATAATAAAGGCTTGGTCTAGGCTGGCATCATTAAAAAAATGTGAAATTTGGTATTCATTTGGCTTTGCATTCAGATGCAGATGTTAGTGAGGAAGAAAGGTTGCCTTGTTTTTAGTTTCTTTTTTAATCTGCCAGCTGTTATAACAGCACCAGATGTGCAGCTTGCTCTGGGAATAATAGCATGTTGAAGTGGTAGAGGCTAACATGCCATGTAGTCATGTCTTATTTGCCATGAGAGTGGCAGCATCAGTTCTCTGCCATGTTTCTTCACTGTACAGGTGAAGCAAGAAATAGGTCATCCTTGGCTGATGTGTTAACTACAAATACTCATCTGAATACAAACAGCTGGGTTGTGTGGTTAAGACAAGACTCATTCCTGATAATGTTTTGTTAGAGCCCTTTGGGATATCTCAGCAACCTCCCACCATTATTCTCACCAATGCCTTTTTCCAGCTCCTCATTCCCAGATATTGGCAAAGCTTGTGTTTCCTTTCAGTTGTGGTTTTTTGTTTTGCTTTTTCCCCCAGTTGTCTTTGTAGTTATGCCTTCCATTAGTTGCCTGTTGTTTGCCTGGTAATACTGGTTGTTGATTTTTCACATGCGGCTAAATGGAGGACATACGCTTTTGTGATGATGGGATTTTCCCAGATTCTTCTGATAGCTGAGCCAAGTTCTCATCAGAGGAGGGGCAGTGCCATTAGATGTGTGTGGCCTGACCTGCTCCAGGCCTGCAGGGATGGAAAGGGAAGAGACTGTTTTAGGGAGGCGCAGTTTGCAGTTTCCCGGTGCATTGGGAGCAGGTGAGGGGTGCCAGAGGCAGGAGTGCAGGGATGGTTTGAGTGTCTTCATGCTTCCAGCCCACCCTCCTCCTCTGCAAAGAAATATACTGTTTCTCTCACTTCTCATGTGCCTCAGCCTGAGAATAGTTTTTCTATCAAAACTTCAGGCAAGAACTGTGAAGGCTACAGGACTGGGGGCACAGCGACACAAGCAAGTGGGTGCAGTCCAAGGATTACTTGCCTCTTGGCTCAGAATACCTCCATGCGCAGAGCTTTGCAGAAATGGGGTAAAACTTCCAGTCTCAACATGATTATATGGAATTATATTTTATTTTGTCACCATCAGAGAAAGGAACCTTATTTTTTTGTTATTTTGTTGTTGTTGTTATTCAGTAGCATTTCTAGATAGCCACAGGAGAAGCCTTACTGAATGGAAATTCCAGTACACAAGTGCCACATGCCATATATGACTTCATTTTCTTTGAGTCCTTGCTTGGGATAAAAATGATGCATTGAACCTTGATGCAACTTGCTGCCCATGGGTAAATTTGGCCCCTCTTGCACTATATTTGCATGATGTGCAAAAGAGGTTGCAAAAAACAACTCAGAGAACAGCAGACTGAGGAAACCTTCCCCCCCCCACACAAAAAAAAAAAAGAAAAAAGAGCAGCTCAAGTATATCCGTCAGTCTCCATTTATAAGCTGCAGAGCTAGCACTATTGCACTTGCAGTGCTTAGTGTTTGTCCAGGATCAGGATTGTCTGCTCATTAGGAACATGTTAACGCTTTGTTTTTTAAACTTTCTTGGCAGTTATATTTAGAAAAAAGGAGTGTTCTGCCAAATACAAAGATGCTAGCTAATGAACGCTCCTCTCCTGAGCTGAAGAGACAGCCTGGTGCTTTACATGAGAAATTATGCCTTGTTCAGTTTGGTAGGCTGCTATTAATTGTGTTCAGTGAAATATACGTAAAGATACAGTCTCAGTCTTTAGGAATCGTACTTTGAGTGTGGCTCAAGGACATGCGGAATCCATGCATCTCATTAGCTTTCCTATGACAGCCACTCGACCTAGTGTCCAGGAGAGCACTGGTTGCAGCCAAATATCTTAATTTACCCAATTGCAAATGCATCATCACTTAGAAAATGGGCAACCTGATGACTACTCTCAGTTCTAATGGAGCTGACTGATGAGTGGCCCTTGTCTTTTCCTTACCCATACTGGTAAAGGGGAAGGGAGTAATGTGTATATTAGGATTGCTGAAACAGAGAAAGCATCTCAGAGCTCCTGCCTTCACCGAAGTCATAAGTATGGAGGAGTGTGGGAAATGAACAAAAGAGACTGAATGAAATATGGGTGCAAAACAATCAAATAGCAAATACCCTCATTCCTCCCCAGTTCTTTTGTGGGACTTTCTTTGTGCCACGAGAGTCAGAAGGTTTTTTGCCAAAGCTCATGTTAGATTTTCCTTCCCTTTGTGATGCAGTAAGGCTGTGAATTTCTAAAGTCCTCCTAGGAAATGGAAGGGGAAAGCACTGGATACCAAAAACCTAAAACAACTTTCCCTTCAAGAATCTGAGCTGTTACGATTTGGGGGACTAATGAGTTGAGTAAACAGTAAGTGAAGACAGATGTTTTGCAGGCATGGGTAAACAAAGAAATCTGACAACTGATAGGTAAAGAAAATAGTAGTTGTCATGCTGGGAGGAAAAATGAGGATTGCCTGCTTCCAAAATCCTGTATGCTGCCAAGAGCTTCTGAAAGCCTTAAAATAAAATAAAAATACACGTTGGATCAGAAATTAAATGACTGGCCAAAAAAATTTGGAACAGCCTTTTGGCTTGACAGTGGGTTAACAGGCAGCAAGTCAGCGAGGAATAATTAGTTTATACTTACTTCTTTAATGTCATTTTTCACATAACATTTCTTTGTGTTTAGCTCTCTCAGGACCTGTCATTGTTCACAGAAATCTATTTGCAGGACATGGAGAATGTCTTATTCCTCATTATGCTCTCTGATGATTTTTCTTTATTTGATAACTTGTAAACTATATGCTGTTTTCAAATCAGAAGAGCCAAAAATTTGACAATTTTGCTTGCAGTTTGAGATTAGTAGTGATAGGCTTGAATGTCGTTTTAAACTGACTATTTTAAGACAGTTTAAGGTTTTTATTTTATACATCAATTTATAATATTTTGGACATATCACATGCATTGTTATTTTTAAATACAAATATATCATTAACAATTTTTAAAAATACAAGTACTTGCCAAATATTTCAGGTTAGGATGTGATATTTAGGCACAACCTTAAGTTAGTTTATTGGCTGTTCTCCTCTGTGCAGTCAGCTGGCCCAGTCAGTGCACAGAAGTCCTGGAGCAGTGTGTTCAGACTGGGGGATTATTTGCATGTGTGAGATTGCATTGCCCAGAGCACAGGACCTGTATTTCTTCCTAACTTCCCTTTACAAGAGCAATGCAAGGACAGTTTTCTCCTCCAGAACTACAGGCAGACCAGGCAGGGCCGAGGTCCTGGGAAAGTGTGGTGGTTCATTAGCAGATGCATTGTGCTTCAAAGCTCTACTGTAACCTGACCTCTAGTATCAGTCTGACAGATAAAAATGCAGCCATAGTAAATTAATTGCTCTGAGGCAAAACATCTTGAGAAATTGGCGCACACATGACTTTCTGCAAAGATGTGCTTTCTCCATACCTCCGTCTGCACTGGCTACTCTCCAGGATAATCTTGGCCCATCTGTGAATCTCAAACATGACTAGAAACACTACAAGGTGTGTAATTAATTTTCAAGATGTACAGTGCATTCAGGTTGATACTTTTGTTTCCAATTTATAAACTACTCTCAAGGAAATCTCAGGCGCTTTTCATAATTTATCACTGAAACTAAGCCAACATCTGTCTATTCTTAAAATTTGCTATGAATACATTCACTAAACAGAGAAAGGGAAACTGGGAAAGGAGACCTTTTTTCCACTGAAGGAGTAAACATCCATTTGTTTCAGTTGCTCTCTTCTCTTAATATGGTAGAGAATCCTTTTCTTGTTTATTCCAAATTTTTGTTGTACCATTTAATAGCTTTGTTTACTTTATATAGGCACAACATCCGTAGTAAAAATACCCTCAGCTAAATGCTATAGAAAGTAACAGTGTCTGCCTGTCAGGCTTATTTGCTCAGTGGAACTATTAGATACTACAAGTAATTTTTGGTATAAATGCTTCACTGAAATTGTTCCAGTTAGGGGTGGAAAAAGATGATACTGTACACTACTGTGCAATGCCGTGAAAACTAGTGTTTGATTTACCTTTGTGCAAAAAACCAGAAAATTTAGGTTAGAGGGCCCTTGAACTTATCTGTTCCTAGCTCCTGCTGAGATCATAGTCAATGTTGAAGTTAGTTCAGGTTGTTGGGTCCCATCCAGTTGGGCTTTAATGGAGTTTACACAATGTCTCTGCCACCCTGGTCCAGCACTTAAATACTTTTGCGGAGAGAAGGCTTTTTCTTTGTATGGAGCTGGAATTTCTTGTATGGCAGCTTTTGCTTGTTACTCCTCAGCTTTTCTGTTTTCCCTATGGCCTCAATTCAGATAATGGATGGTTTTAATTAGATTCCCCCAAACCTTCCCACCTCAAGGCCAAGCAAATGTAGTTCCTTCAGCCTTTTCCCATATTTTAGCTCCCAACCTTCTTGTTCCTTATTTCCATGATTATGTTTTGACTCAATTTCTGAAATATTTCAGTAATGTATTTCACAAGAACTCAGTTTTACTAATCAATTGATACCCTAAATGCTGTCTTATTTTGCGACCCTACAGAAAGGCTGCTGGGCATGTGTTTAGCTCCTACTCAAGCCTTTGTAGTGTTTCAGCTGCATTATAAGGCACCTATCAGTATCTTTATGTTGTTCATCCTGAAGGAAGAAGGTGTCTATGCCTACCAACTCCAACATGCTTAAATCTGATGTAGGCAATACCAAATGAATTGGGTCACCTTGGACTGTTGATGTACCTAAAGTGTCTTTGATTTCTTACCCCAAGACAGATATGACTTCAGTTTATCAGGAGGCTAAATGATTGTGTTTCTGTCCAGTAGGTGAAGATATTTAGCCAGGCAAAAGATGGAGGCACTGTAAGGTCCAGGCTAAGGAAAACGTTAAAGGACAAAACTCACATTGTATGAGACAGTACAGAATCCAACAATGAAAACACCACTGCCAATTCCACCCTGTAGGAAGATCTCTCCAGACTTCTATATGCCAAAGCCAAATCCATAAGACATAAATCAGTAGAATAGTTGGCTTCTCTGTCTCCTTAATGTTTCCTGCTGTGGAGTGCACTCTTAATTCAGTGTTTTGTACAGCCTTGTGTTCTTTAGGAGGACAGATAAGCCAGAATATGGGAGCACTGCCCCTTGCGTCCTGACTATTCTCCTCTTTCCTTGCTCCTCACCACTCCCACTGCTGCAGAGTTCACCTCATCAGTACAAGTAAACAAGTGTGAAGGGAAAGGAGGTGGTAGTGGTGCACTCTGTTGCATCTCCCCTTCAAAAGACCTTTGTTTTCTTTTAGTCTGACTAGCTAGCACAGATATATACAGTCATCTGGGAAGAAAATTCCCTTTAAAGCCAGCTCTGTAATGGCACTGGGCCTTCCTTGGCTGATTGACATTCTGGTGAAAGCACAGCAATTCTTTCCAGGTACCAGCTGAACTACCCCTGCAACACGTAGTAGCTCCTTGGCAAGGCCTACCTTTGTATTTTGCTTTGAGCCAGTGACTATCTTTTGGTGCTCTACCAGGGTGTTACTGTTTTATGAATAGTTTTTCCCTTCTTATAAACAAAGCAACTCTTCCCTCAAATGCTTTTATTCAACCTTTTCAGAGAAAGAGAAAAGGCATGGTCTTATTGCATAAGATTTTTTGCAGAAGAAAAAGTAAAAAAAAAAAAAGTAATTCTCTGCTCAGAGAATAAACAGGATTATCCAAATAAATAAGAAACTAAGCAAAGCCTGTTCATTGATCATTGTGAAAGTTTGAAGGGAGCATTTGGGGATTTTTCACTTTTGTAAGTGAATTAACCTACAATGTGCATTGTGTGGGCCTTTCTGTGTATTTGTTTTGTTTACTTGGCTTTTTTTTAAGATGGAAATTTTTGTCTTGCTTTAATTATTTGTTTGATTTATGTGAAAAATCAGTGTACCTTGCCTTAGGGATTTGTTGGCCTTGCTGTGTGCAGAATATATGCTTTGGGAGGTACAGATTTGTTAAGATGTTGTGTGTAGCTTTGTTTATATAGATCTGAATTTATGAGCTCGTAAATGAAATCAACAGTATCCCTTTATTTCTTTTTACAGCAATAGATGTTCTTCATCAACTGGGCCTTGTGAAAGATGCTCAAGAGCCCTCAGAGACAACAGAGCCTTCTGCATCATCTCTGTTACCTCAGGGTGTTCGTCTAACTGCATCGGGAGTTGTACTAACTAGTGATGCACATATTGAGTCCCCCATCATTCAAGTCATACCATCAAACCTAGGGCATCAGTTCACCATATTGGTTGGGTTGTACTCTTACAGAGTCAATAATGCTTTCCTCTTCAGTATTAGGAACAAAAGTAGACTGCAGTTTGGTGTCCAGCTGCTACCGAGAAAGGTAGCAGTGTACACTGGAGGGAAGCAGTCTGTATACTTCAGTTATAGTGTTCATAATGAACAGTGGCATTCATTTGCCATTGGCATTGGAGACAAGACTGTCTCAATATATGCTGAATGTGGAAAGAAGTACTATAGCAGTGAAGTACTTTCTGAAGTGGAGACATTTGATTTGGATGGTGTATTTACTCTGGGAAGGATGAACTCTCGGTCTGTCAGCTTTGAAGGAGTTATATGTCAGCTAGATATTATTCCCTCTGCAGAAGCCTCTGCAAACTATTGTAAATATGTGAAACAGCAGTGTCGCCAGGCTGAAACGTATCGATCTCTGCCAGGAGCTCCACTTGTGTCAGATGGGCTGGATATTTTTTCAAAGATGATCATTGATGAGGAACACCGGGAAGATATATCAGCTTATAGATGGAAGGAAGCATCAAACATGCCTGTTACCAATGTTGCTCAGATTCACTTTCTACCAGACCACTTTGAGGCAAGAAATGCCTCTGCGTTGGAGTTTGCAGAGACCAAACCTCCATTGCTGGAAGCTTGGCCTGAAACAGAACTCCAGGAGAATGTCAATCTGCCTCTTCAGCAGCAGATGAGCAAAAAAAGAAACATCACTAAAACTCCTGCAGGACCAAATCCAGATAGTTCAGCTAATACCACAGAAGAAGCAGGCAGACAAAGTGAGCCTTCTCTGATCTCTCCTGTAAAACAGAGTAAAACTAAAAGCAAGGGAACGGAAAAAGCAAAACAGCATTTAGATGCGCTAAGCAAAAAGCAGCAAATCTTCAACACAACCCTGTACAGTTTGCCTGCTGAGCTCCCTCTGGATAATCAACTCAGTGCAGGGCAGGAAGGTGCACTTGATGCTGATGAGACTTATCATACAGAAAGCAGTTATGAAATTGGTATTAATAATTATGCTTATGACTATGAAGATCTTGGCAAAATATTTGAAATGGGAAGTGTCAGAGGTCCAAAGGGGGAAACCGGACCTCCTGTAAGTTATCTTTATTACTCTTCTTACTATAATGCAGCAATATACATTTAACAGAGGCTTTGAAAGAAACCTCTCAAAGCATGCCAGAGCTGTGACTGCAACTTCTCCCAGCTGTACTGTACAAATGTTTGTCTGCCTTAAATATGTCCCTTTCTTGCATGTAATTTTGGTGTAAGTGTCATATATTTTTACTTACTGGAAGAATATAAAGACATTCAAGACATTCACATTCTGGTGAAGTGGTAGGCAACACAGGCTTCTTTAAAATTTTGAATGCAGCTAGATATTTGTAACTGCTAATTACAGAGACCGCTGACTTAATAAAATTACAGGCTAAATTCATACAGTTCACAAATACAGATGCTGATCCATGAAAAGAACAACCAGTCTGCTTGGAAGACTGACTCAGTTTTCTTAGATGAGCAATGCTATCAAAATTTATAGTACTAGAAAGTGAGCAGTTGCAGAACCTAGTCTGGTAAAACCATTCATAACCCAAGGTTATTGGGATGCAAAATGGTTTTTAGAACAGTCTTTTGAGATTTTGCAGCATTTTTTCAGTTAATAGGGTAAGTGATTCCTGATACAATTGCAAATGCACAGTAGTGTTTCTAATAGAAACCAGTTTATCCTTTCCTTACTGTGTGCACAAGGCTCATAAACTTTTTAATAGATAAAAATGGGGGCAGTATATATGAAGCTGCAGACCAGAAAGAACATCAGTTCTGCGTAGCCTGGGGAGTATGACAGATTGTGCTTCATGCTTGTGTGAGCTTTTGGTTAAATTTTTTAAACCATAACATGGAGTAAATAATTTCACTTGCCTTTTATTTTTTTTTTGCCTTTTTTTTTGATTTGTGTAAGTGTTCATCTGTGTGGTTATTACTGGAAAGCAATTTAATATGGGATAAGCAGTTTCTAATATATATTTGAATAAGCCCATAAATTTATTGTGTTTATTCTTTCAGGACTGAAATATTTTTTCTTAAATTAGTCAACAATCAAGAACCTATTCAGAAGTTCAGTTTTTACTCTAAACAGGATCCAGGCACAAAGGAATTGCTGCACAATTGAAAAATGTGTTAACAAGTAATTCACACTAGTTTAGAGGTGCTCTTGCTTAATCTTTTTTTAATGTGAAGTCAGTCTTTTTTATTCTTTTTTTCCCTTATAATAGTATTTATGGAGACATATCACTAAGTATGTAGCTGCCATCAACATGAGGTTAATTTCCATTTTTGGACCTTAAGATGTTTGGTAACCACTAATGGAAGCTTTTAATTTTAGCATATAACTTGTTAGTTTTGATTTCAGTGAGTCATGGCCAAGAAAGTTAAATCTGTTCTTTTTTACATGGTGCAGAAATGGCTGCTGCTGATGATATAGGTTTTTTGAGTTATGAAGAAACTCCAACCAAATGCTTTGTTTTGGTATTTTTCTTACATACAGGCACTATACACACAGTGGCAAAGATGGCAGCTGATTATTTGGAGGGTTCAAAGATCTTCTATGCCTGTCTTACAGAGTGGGGTTGCAGAAGTTTGTCTCACCTAGGAACGCAGACTGTGGTCTGTAGCAGTGAATGTGGTGCATTTACCCTGAGGTGTTTTGCTGGATCAGGATTTAAATAACATGCTCAAGGTCTTAAAGGTCAGAGCTGGGAAGGTAATATAGACTTTTGAGGGCACTAGGTTAGCTGAAGGGGCCTGCAGCACCCACTGTACCAGAGGCAAAGTTAAAACTACACTGCCAGAGCAGCTGACACCAAAGGAAGAAGAGGTCTCTGCATGAAGCGGAGAGTTGTGCTCCGTGCAGATTCTGTGGTGCAGTGCCTGACTCTGTTGTTGGCCTCAGACTTGAAGAGATGATCTTGGTTTGCTTTCTCAGTCTAGTACTCTCATGTAGAGAAGACCAGAGATAACAGAGCTTTTATATGTGTGGCTCTAACACTCTAAGTACCTACAGAATCTTTACGAGGAGCCTAAAAAAGCAACATTGAGGAACTCGAAAACTTCCCTTGCAGCAAAAAATCCTGATGAGGCATGAAACCCCCCTCTTTTTACTTCTTTCATTATGTTGTGGTTGATTTGGATCTTCTTTCAAGATTTGAACACAGAAGTAATGTTCGTTCTATTGGAATTGACAGGCAAGAACTAGCTTTTGTGGTTCTTCAACTACTTAGCTTTGTTTTAGCTTTTAATCATCTACCAGAACTGATTCTTGCCTTCTGTAATTAGGCCCCTTGTATTCCATGATCCCACAGCTGTGGAATTCACCCACCATGGCAAAGCAGAATTCCAGAATTCAGGCTTTCATTTATGGATAGTGTAGAAAAAGGGACACCTATTTCCTCAAAACTATTAAGACCCTGATTAAAATTCTAGCTGTTGCAATTTCCCTAGAAAAAATATAGTGAGTGTAAAGTGGAACAGTGTGATGTCCTGAAACACTACTTTCAAGAAAATGCTGCTCTGTTCGTTGGAAGAACCACTGTGTTGCAGAGGGTGTTTGCACTCTGTAAAGATAACAAAAATAAATGTGGTGTGTGTTTAACTGTTTAACTTTCAAGTTGATATTTTTCATTGCACAATCCAAGCAGTTTGCAGTAACACGATGCATAGTCCCACACTGGTAAACAGAGGGGTAAATGTGAGCTGAAAAGCTGATTTAGGTTACTTGCTGGTAGATAATTGCATCTTCAGGTCTACCTGCACAGGATGTGGCCTTCCAAGAGAAATGAGCTGGGAATTTGTTTCCTCTATTGGAAAAGCTTTGTGGATTTTGAAGATACTCAGCTAGGAGGAGGAATGGTAGAAGATTAAATGGTGGTATTCCCTCTAGTTGGTCAGGAGAAGCAGTCTGGAGACGTTGCCTAGAGGAATGGGCAATGGGAGATGGCAAACCCTGCGTTAAGCAGAGTTGAGCCCTGAATGAGATGCTCTTTTTGCAACCAAGAGGTGTGAGAGTGAGAACACTGAGAGGGCAGTTCAGAGATCCTAAATGAACAACAGTAAGGGTAGCATCAGCTGCCTTTCACTCCTAGCTTATTTCCCAGGTGAACAAAATTGCTTCCCAAGGCTCTCCCTGACCACAGATTGTTTAAAACTGATGCAGTTTCCTATCTTCTGCACAACCATATTGAAAAACTTTAACCCATAATCCAAAGCCCTATATATATGTTCTTCTGATGTTGATGACATTGCTTTGACTGTTGCAGGAATTCTTGAGAGAGAAATGGAAGGACTTCCACAGCTGTAAAGAAAGGAGGTTAATCATACAGAAGTGACTGCCTGCTCTAGGGCATTTGGAAAGAGAAGTGTGTGGGTTTTGTCATTTCCAGTGAAATGCAAATGAAACAAGGAACAAAAATAATAGGTGGACATTCAAGTTTGGTAGAGTCCTTGTTTCTCAATAATTAAATTAATATCAGGATGAAGTTCTTAAAGAAGGTAAACAGAGCAGGATAGGAGCACAAAGAAGAATTCTGAGTGATGGGATCAGAATTCCAGGTGGCCCAAAACCGATGGGATAAAACTTAGTGCAGTAGTACAGAAATTAAAAGTATGAATAGAGGGTGGGGGAGTAATTGGTTTGACAGTCACATGAGGATCATAGATTGGTATCACACTGCAGTAGAAAATAAGTGCATCATACTGCTGTGATGCTTGATTCATTACTAGGTGTGGTGAGTATCAGGCTACTTTTTCTACTGGTTTGGGAATGATGACATTGCAGTTTGGAGACGTGTCCTCAGTTTTGGATGAGGAGCTTTAAAAAGGATGTAGATTTTGGAATAGGTTTGAAGCCTGATGCATCTGTTTACTTCCCTGATGTACTGCAGGTATTTTGATGATGTGCAGAAAGGTTCATGGGTTTTTTGCTTTGCCTGCCTTAGATATTTGACGATTCCAGCATAAAATTTCTTTAATTTAGTCTTTTAAAAAAAGAAGTGTTTGGGATGAGGTGAGTTTGAATGGTTGGGATATAGTCAAGTGCCTTCTAAAGAGAAACTTCAATGAATAGCATTTAGATATTAAATGGCTATGGGATCAACATATGTCTGTGCAGAAGTTTGAACTACTTAATGCAGAATTTATTGCTATGCATCTGAAATCTTAGGGCCTTGCTATATGTAAATTAAATGTTTCCTATTACCTCTGGGTAATAGGGCAAGTTTAAAATAGATGCATCCATAGAAGGGCTTCAGTATCCTAGAAAATGTCTATGAAAGTTCACCATTACATTTATTACAGTGACCATTTGAAAGGTAGTGAATATTTCTGGAAGAGTAACATCTACTTCTATTATTTCATCATTAAGCAATGATTATTTGGACTTGAGTTCCTCTGCTCAACAGCTAAGTGACATTTTTGCAATTCCTGAAGACAATGTTGTAGTACTGTTCTTAAGATACACATGATCTGTTTTGAGCAAAATGATCTTATTGAATAAATTAATTTTAAATTTACATCTGTAATATTTATACGAAGTTACTTTTTTTTTTGGTGGTGGCTAAGACGTGAAAAACTAAAACTCACATTAACATTTCTAATTGCATCAGGTTTGTTTAATTATTGTAGTAGTAGTTGGAGGAAAAGCTATTCAAACAAATGACTTATTCCTTGGTTTAAGAGAGATTGGCTCACTCTCAGATGTTGACTTCTGTGGCTTACATGGGTGCCTAAGAGGCTTAAGTAGCTTCCTAGCTAGTATTAAAAGAGTCACGCCGATTTGAAGTTGTAGTTGCTTTTACAGATTGTAGAAATACATAGGATGGAATAACTTCTTACAGCTTGTTTGAAAAGCATTTCCAGAAAGACTTACGTGTGCTCTACTAAAGTCTACTGTCAGCAGACATGTTGCTTGAGTTGCAGGGAGGAGTCTGTACTGGAGGCTAAAGGGTAATATACTCTGATTCAGGAGAGTCCTTGTTAATACTTCAGTTAAACACCTGGATTGCTGGGGCTGGTTGCTTATTATTGTTAACCAGAGACTTCATCTACAATTGCTGACTTGGTTTTAGAATGCCTTGAGAAAGCACTATTAATCTTTGTCTGAATAGTTCAAAATATAATTCAGAGCGTGGTTGTGATTAGATTTTCTTCTTTTTGTGGTTTTCTTTTTGTCTGAAAAGGGATAATTACTTATGATTTAGTGTAATCTAAGTGAAATTGGGTTGGATTTGGGTTTTGTTTGCTTGTTTGTTTTCTTTTGCAAAGGAGGCAGGTGCTATTTAAAAAAAAAAAATAGATGCCACATAGAGAAAAATGTTCTCACTGCCCTCATTCAATAAATCATCTGCAAAGATCAGGGATCTAATAAGATTTCTCTTAGGAAAGTGGAGGGGTTTGGCTATTAATGGTTTTTTAAGGAAATGTAGAAAGCATTTGAAACAGGGATATAGAAGACCTTTTTACTGTAAACTGCAGAATAGTTGCAACTATTCTACTTAATAAAAATATTTTTTCTTTTGTAGTCCCAGGTTAATATTCTAATCAAAGTGCATCTTTTAAGCTACAATTTGAGAGGAGATATTACAAAACATACTGCTTCAGCAGTGCAGGGCGGGAGCTCTCTGTGCCCTTTTGAGTGCATTTTTGAACCTGGACAAGAATGCCAGATCGAGAGTTTTCCACGTGTCTGTCTGCTACATTTCTTGTGCTGTTAAACATGGGGTCTTTTTACTTCAGAAAGATACGAGGATGCTAGTGAGCAGTTGTGCAACCGTGGTGAATAGTGAACCTTCTGTGCTAAAGTATGACATGTTATGGTTTGATCTAAAGACCAGGGCTGGTACACAGATTTGTGTCTTCTAAATTGCACAGAAAGGGGAAATGCAGGTATGGATTTCAGCCTGACTTAATGTAGTGTGTACGGACAAACAAATATTCCCAAATACGATTAGACTCCTAAGATAATTATGATTAATTGAAGAGAAAATTATTTTTTTTTAAATTTCCAAAAACAGCAGTGGTTTTCTCAGAATTGTCCACAAGTGGTCTGTATTTTGGACAAATGAATGTAATTAGGTTGACAATGCCTAAAGTCCATAATCAGCGCTGTCTTCTCTGCCAGTGACATTACCTTTCCAAGAAAAATGAAGTATCACTTACACAAAACCGAAGTATTTTAAAAATGCAGTTTTTGTCTTAATGAAATGATTTGCTCATTGCTAATAAAACCCCAAAAGGTGTTTGTCTTTTTCCCTTCTCTCTTTTTTTTTTTTTCTCTTTTTCCATTTTTGCAAAACCTTTGACTGGCCATTTCAGCAACTATAATTGCCTTTCTGATTTTCCTGGTATCCTTGCCAGCTTTCAGCGTTGTTCGGTGTGGGCAGTGTGACAGTGTTTTGCCCAGTGTCTCAGCTGAGAGGCTGTTGTACATATAGAACACAGGAGCATGAGGAAGTCTGTGTAAAAGAGCAACTTGAATCTCTTCCTCCTATCCCGACTGACCTCCTTCATGAGGTTGGACTTGCTTGATGCCCACCTTCTCTTGCAGAAAGTACACGGTATCTGTTAAAGCTGGGGCTTGCTGTGCAGGCACTGGATGGGAGCTGAATTCACCCTTAGGAGTAGCTCATCTATCTGTAGAACTCTAATTTGATAGATGGAATATAAAGTAGTGCAGATTTTAGTCTAGAGCTCTCATTTGTATTTGAGTACAATGAAGTAGATCCTGGGGGTTTGAATGTAAACAGTAGTCACATACAGAAAAGGAAGAGTTTCCATGGTCAAAACAACTAGATATGCAGGGGATGGTACACTGTCCAATATGCTGACTAATAATCTAATTCATTTGCGAAAGATACGTGTGATTACATACTAGCATTGAAAAAAAATCTACATTATCCTTGGAGAGAATGATATTCATTATATACCAGGGCAAATGTGCTATAAGTTATTCTTGTTAGAAGATTTTAATAGGAAACTGAACAG